AAAAGCTGAGAAGGTGAAAACTTTTGTAACAAGTGTTTTCAATATTTTTTGTGTTATATTACTAAATTGGGTAAGAATGTGCCTTTTGTTCTTTGTAACCCTTAGAAACTGGTCTGAGATTAATATAATAAATATTTTTGGCCATTTGAATTATGTCTATCACAAAAAAATACCTAAAATATATTACCAGCACATGAAAGGGAAGACTTTTGCATGGCACTGTAGATAGTTGACTATTTTAAACAGGCGAAGACGTATCTGAAATTGTGATCCTGACAATGATGTGCAACAATAACACAGTGTCACTACCTTGTGGTCAAAGCGATTAAGTATCTCTAAACAGATAACAGGCAATAAAGTAATGAATACTTCAATTTTGATTTAATAATTAAAATTATTTATACACTTAAAATAAAGAGAAGTCACACAGGTCTTTCATAAACTGAAATTGATACTCTGTCTACAAAACACAAAGTCATACCTAAAATTTTTTACGTTAAAAAAGGAATAAAATACATTTTTTAGATCACTGGAAAAATGACTACAGATAAAGATTTTTATGGGCATTAAGTGAATAAATGATAATTCTATCAACTTCTAGATTATTTTTTCAGTATATTGATTAAAAAATCATGTATATAAACACTAACTAACAGTATAGCCCATTAAAAACATTTATCTTATATTTCTATGTTTGGACTTACACTGATTAGAATGCACTGTTGCATCAGTTTTGTACCATTACTGTTAATGATATCTTCGGCCATAATTCCAATAATATCTTACGAGGTTCGGCCAGCTTAGGATATTTAAGTTATTTATAAATACACATTTTAAGCTAACAATGGAAAATGTTTTTTTGTGATAAAAATATAATAATGAGCAATATATTGTTACGACAGCGGAAGTCACGCGATGCTGGGAGCATGCTCGCTGGAGATTCTCGAAGGATCATGAATTTTCCCGCCAACTAAAAGTTGTATTGAGAAAGAATAAACTGAAGTTCCTCGGAAATAATTTCTACCGGAAATTAACAAACAAGCAGATACGCAACAATATCAAAATAGAAAGTAATGATGTTTGATATATCAACTACACATATTAATTTTAATTTGTTGTATTCTTAATACCTTTAACATTGTCATGTTATCATCACTGATTCAGTTATTATTTTATACCTTCATAAACATTGATTTTTCGTTGTAATGTAGGAAAGTTGCTACTACTACCTCAACACAGTTTAAATTGTAACATGTATAAAATTTTGAGAGATGTGACTTGCCTCTAACGTTATACAGCAGTGGTGACTTTGTTCAAGAGACAAGCTTGGAAAACAAGGTTACTATTTCCAAAGAAATTTACTTCTACAACAAAGTTTCAAAATGGCAGCTGGTGTTTCAGTGTTCCCTAAGAAAGACATAGTATATTATTTATTCATTATTACTTTCATTAACAGTATTGATTGTACTTGTTAATATATTGAACATTATGACATTTTATCTTGATTTATTGTTTATCAGAAAGATTATTTTGCCCTTTTAGCTCTAAATATGTATATAGGACTAACCTAAATCTCCTAAGCTGGCTAAATATTTCGATATATTATTGTGATAACAGTTTAAAATATTCTTAACAAAGAGAGTTCCCAATTTATGAAACAATGTATTCTAATCTCCATAAGTAGAAATGAATATATATATATATATATATATAGCTATAATGATAGCCAGGTTAATTTCTAGTTTTGCCTTAAGTACATAGCTCACTCTGGTCAGACTTTAATATTAATATCAAAATAGGTTCAAATCAGGATCAAATCTATAATACCAAAATTCTGCATATCAACAAATAAGGTGGGTACATTTTCTCATGTCTTATACCCAAAGACGAAATATAAAAATGAAAACATCAGTAATAAGTCTCCCTTTCTTCCTATCCTCCAGTATTGCAAAGTAGTATATATCACCTAACTTCATAAGAGACAAAAACAAGAAGTAAGAAAGTAAGAGCTGGTAACTGCCAGTTGATTCTTAAACTCAAGATAATTACCTCTGCCACCAAAGATTGAAGGAAGTTATGTTTTCAGATGTGTGTGTCAGCAAGATTTCTCGAAAACGGCTGAATGGATTTGGGCGAAACTTGGTATACGTTTAGACTATGACCCAACATAGAAGTGATTAGTTTTTGGAGGGTCAGGATCACGAAAATAAAAATAAATAAATCCCTATCTGTTAACATGGAGACCGATTTTTCCCACTATTTTGTTCAGTAATTCAGTCAAAAATTATCAGATTTTGATGAAACTTGGTGGACCCATGTGGAATATTATTTCTCATTTTCATGTCAAAAAGGTCTGTGTCTATTGATGACGATGGACATATGGACACATTTTAATATTTTTTGAGAGCCGAATATGATCAACCCTGTGTGGCGGAGGTATGCACTCTACCGGGTGCCCTTCTAGTTTCTGATGTTTTGAATTACTTCGAAGAAAACAAAAGCTAATAAAATTCACAAATAGTCGTGAATAGAGTAGTTGATTGTGGAATGAAACATTTGTTAACCTGTGAAATTAATATCTCAACAACCTCACTAGAGGTTCGTGTAATATGACATACAATGCCAAGTTACTGAAAACAATAGAAACTTTTGACCAGATTATAATTATATAATTAAGTTGAGCACACTCAAGAACTAACTGGAAATAAAGGGCAGTAGGTCATTGTTACAGATAAGACAAAAGCATCATTACATTGTTGATATTAATCTTTTAAAGATTGAAACATAGTGCTTATCAAGTATATAACAGTCACTTATTCTATTATAATATAAAATAAGTAACATAATCATGAAGGTTATAGACCCGTATGTACTGAGATATTTTTACCACTACTAGTATTTTTTCCAGTATTTAATGTAAAGAGAACAAGCATACTATATCAAAGGTGTTCTTCTGTCCCAAGTAAATATTATGATTGATCTTAAGACATTGTGAATTGTAAAACTTTCCACACATTCACTTTTTTATTGTAAAGGTTTTTAATATTTTATGTTGAGTTGTTTAATTCAGAATGCAATCTCTCATGAAAATAATACAGACATTGAAAAACAAAACAATAGTATATTTTGCCACTTCTAAGAGTCATAGATGATAACTAACACAAAACAAAATAAACTTGATAAAATTCAAACACATTCTTTATAGTAAAAGGGAAGAAGAGCTGATGTATGTTTCAGTCATTTATAGCTGCAATATACATTAGTAGAAACAATTATGGGAACACACACAAGTGTGAGCAGCAGAACCAAGACTTTCTGTCCAACCTTGAAACGCATATCCTTGGTCTTTGTGTCATAAAAGTGCTTCTGACTGCCTTGAGCTGCATACAAACTTTCTCGAGCTAGTTGACAGGTCTCCTCCAGTCAGTTTCTGAAGTCTAACATGTACTGCCATGTGTTCCTCACTTCTGATTCATCTTCTGTCCTCAGTTACTTCAATGTCTGAATCAGACCTCATACTGTTCTTCTGTACAGTAACTCGAAGAGTGGAATCCTATACTCGTTTGTTGGACTTCTAAGTAAGCAGAT